AGGCCCCGGGCGGTGGGATGGCCGGGCGTGTGTGGCGGGCGCTGCCTGGGGGCTTCGCGGCCGGGAGCTAGCGGGCCGCCGCAGTTTCTGTTTAACCGCCGGTCTGCGCGTTTCTCTTCCTTCCAGCTACGTTGTGTCGAGGAAAATCGAACCTTTCTACAAAGGAGGGAGAGTCCAGGTAATGTGCTGAGACAGGGAGGGGCAGGTTTGGGAATACCCCATCTCCCGGTTCCTTAACGTTCTTGGTTTCCATTCCCTTTTCTCCAGATAAACCGGGATGGCAAGTTCATGTTTTGTCCCTGTGGGACCAAGCTGAATGTCATTGATGTAGAAACAGGAGCTCTCCACAGCCTCCAGCAGGTGAGGAGATCCAGCCTCCGCCGACTGGAGAGGAGGGTTTTCCAGGGCTCCTGGGGTTCTTTACCGCTAGCTGTTGACTTAAAGCTACTAAAATGGAGAAGCGGAGGGGAAGATGAGAATGGTTCTGGGCACAGATGTTATTTGTGTTGTCCCTAAGTGCAGCTGGAAGCTGCTGGGTGCACTCAGTGTCAGCAGAAGCATGTCAAGAGGGAACTCTGAGAGCGCTCCGCAGATGGTTCAACAGTGGTGGTTTTTTTCTTTTCATTTTTATAGGATGATGAAGAGGATATCACTTCATTTGTTCTCAGCCCCGACGATGAGGTATGTGGTTGCTTTGTGGCTTTCTGTGCTGTTCTGTTAGGCCTCCTGGTAAAGCCAGCAGACACTGAAAGCCACTCCTCCTAGAAGTGCTCTGCATTTCCAGACATCTCTGCAGAGTCATCTTGGGCACTTCCATCTGTCTCCCCTTCTGGGCTCGAGTCAGACAGGAATGCTGAGAGACTGAGCTATAAGAGTGTCATAGTAACCGGCATTTCAGTGCTTTGTCTGTGGATGCTGAATCTGAAATCTAATTAGTAATCATCATGCTTTTCTTCTTGCTTTTGCATAGATCCTTGTGACAGGGAGCCGAGCCCTGTTGCTGAAGCAGTGGAACTGGCGAGAGAACAAGTGTGTTCGCACGTGGAAAGCCGTGCACATTGCGCCGGTAGCTAGCATGGCCTTCGACTCTACTTCAACGTTGTTAGCCACAGGTATGGCCCTATTTCAGTGTCACACGAGGGGAATGGTGCTGAGTGGTCCTTCTGCTTTTAAATCATTTGGCTCAGCTGGACACAGCCTGAGGTAGCAATCTCCTGAATTCAGATGTCATCAGAAGAGGTTTTACTTAAATAGAAATGGCATTTTGAGAGACAGGATCCTTTCAATGTTTTGTCTAAAATATGCATAGTAAAATGCTGATAAACATCAGGCATCTATGAGGCAGTGCCATGTAGTCATCCTGGTGTAGAACAGGGACTCTTGGAGATGGAGGAGGTCAGGCATGACCCGTAGCTTAATTGTGCTTCAGATTTGACTGTGAGCAGTTAGGTTTTGCCTAGCTCTCTGAAAGTGTAAGGTGCTCCATGGACTTTCTGTGCATGGGTGGTTGTTATTGGATTCATTTTTCTTTTTGCTGCCTTTTCAAACCATGAAATTTTACACTTGCTGATATGTTAGACCCTCCTGTGTGTCCCCTCCATAGTTCATTCTTATACACTCTTCTTTTCCCAGGTGGCTGTGACAGTACCATTAAGATTTGGGACATGATCAAACAGTACTGCACACATAACCTAAAAGGATCTTCAGGAGTTGTACAGTAAGGATGAGTCGTATTTGTCAGTTGCTGGCATTAGTGTGTTGCTTGGATGCTGGGATTGATGTGAAATGTCTTGAGTTAATGGAATATAAAGGCCCATTCTGGGCAGGTTCTGGGCTCTTTTGCTCCCTGCTTTTTGAGATGTCTAGTGAAGGAGCAGCACCATGACTGACTTTAGCCCAGAGAGGAAACAGTTTAGTCAAGAAATTTGTTGAGATCTAAATGGAATATCTGTGCTTGCTAACTCCTGTACTTCAAGAATGTGGAAAGAGTGGCAAAGAGCAGTTGTAAATTTTTCTGGTGGGTGACAGAGGAATGAAATCCTATAAAGTCCTCTTACAAATCCTGTCAATTGATCTGTCAAACTCCTTGTGTAGAAAGTGTATTTATTTAAATGTTGGGCTAATGCTAGCACGCCAGATAGTTTATTCCTGTCCTGTTCAAGTGCATCTCCTCCTGTCTAGCCTTGTTGAGTTCCACCCTGACGTCTCCCGGCTGCAACTCTTCTCCTCCTCAGTTGACTACAAAATCCGCATCTGGGACCTAAATTCCAGCAAATGTGTTGCTATGCTGGATGGCCACTTCAGCGCTGTCACCTCACTGGCGTTTGCAGATGGAAACACGCTCATTAGGTAAAACCTTGCGGAGGCTTTGCCTTTCCCCTTCACCCTGTCAGAGCCTGGGTGTTTCTGTAGGGTCTGGGAAGGTCGTGTGAGGAGAAAGGCTCCTGCAAGTGTTCAGTTTCTGCCTGACCATAGAACTGAGTAACTGAGGGTGTCAACACCCTTGTTTCTGGCAATGGCAGGCTGGTGCTTTCTTTCACATGGGCCTCTTCAGAGGGGTGTTGAACTCATGCAATTCCAAATTTGCACTCAGCTTGACTTCTCAGAGCCTGAAACTGCTCTTTTAACTTGCAGTTCTGGCCGTGATAAAATCTGCATGGTGTGGGACCTGAAAACCAAAGAAAGTAAACGAACCGTCCCTGTCTATGAGGTGAAGTTGCATTTAATTTATTTCTTTGAGATCTTTTGTAGTTTTCTAGGTCATGATCCTACAGTACTTCTCCCTCTTTAGGTTCCTGTATATTGTGAAATCAAATTTCCCTCCCTTGTGCTTTCCAGAGCTGTTTCTCTTCTTTCTCTGCTTGCCTGGTGTGGTTGTGTCAGGGCAGTTTGAGGAAATACCTGCCACTGCTGCCTCCAGTGCTGGAGGAAGAGGGAAGGGCAGTTGTGTAAAAGCTCTGTTCTCTCACTGCATCTGCCTACCTGTCCTGGGCAGCCTCACAGCCTGGGGCAGGGGAGTGTGGGGGGGTGTCTGTCGGCTCTAGCAAGCTGTTGCACAGCTCTGGTTGCTGAAATGGGACTCTGGTCCCTTGTGCTCAGCTGGTGGTTGGCCAACTCTCTTCCAGAGCGTGGAAGCTGCTGTCTTGTTACCTGAAAAAGGAGATTTCTCTCAGCTGGGTGTGAAGAAACAAGGGTTGCACTTTGTCACAGCTGGCAGCAAAGGTGAGTGTCGCTGCATTCCTGGGATGTGTGTTCTCTGTGTGGCAGAATTCTCGGGCTGAACCGAGGGCTGGAGGGCAGAGCCTTCTCTTCAGTTCCTCCTCTGACAACAGTGGGTGAGCAGGGTTGGTCAGACATGCTGTGGAGCTTTAACTCTTTATATTTTCAAACTGCAGTAAAGTTTTGATTTGGACTGAAGAAGAAAGATTTTGTGGCCCTTCGTGCCACTGTGATTGGATGTCATCGCAGTCCTGCCATAAGGCTGCGTAGCTTTTTCCAGTTGGCAAGGCCAGGGTTTGTTTTATACTCTTTGCACAACCACTATCTGAAACAGCAGTTCTGACAGATAATTTATCTGTCATTTTTGTTAGGCATCTTGAAAGTTTGGGAAGTTGCCACAGCTGCTTGTGTGTACACCCAGCCCATGCCCTTCACGCTGAAGGAGGAGGCCAGCGAGCGCAGCCTCACCCAGTGCATGCTTGTGCCTGAGAGAAACGAGATTGTCACAGTGTCCGTGGAACACAACATTGTTTTATATGACGCTCAAACTCTTCAGCTCAGGAAGCAGGTAACAACCCTCAGTCTCCCTTTTCCTCTCCCTTATGCATACTTGAGGATCAGCTCTGCTTCTGGTGAAAGTTTTGTCCAGGGTGCCCTCCCCTCCTGCCCATACTTGAATTGTTCCTTGATTGCAAGCCAGAAAGCCAATTGGCTTGTTTGGAGAAATATTGAACAGAGACAAACCTAGGAAAAAGAAAGGAGAACAGGCCTAGCCAGAAATCCCTCCCATGCTCCATCTTATGTGTAAAAAAGGTTTTTACGCACAGTATTAAATGAAAAATAACAGTCGTATAGCGTCCCTGAGCACAGACCCATTCAGTGCTTCTCTAACCAGCTAACTCGTCCCTATTAAGCTGTTTCTGTTCTGTCACCCTCAGCTTGCAGGTTACAACGATGAAGTTCTGGATGTGAAGTTCCTTGGGCCGGGTGATTCTCACATTGTTGTGGCCACCAACAGCCCTCAGCTGAAAGTGTTTGAACTGGCCACATCACACTGCCAAATCCTCTACGGCCACACAGGTGTGTGTGGTCAGCTCTGACGTGGAGGTGGGAGATCTGCAAGTATTTCTTTATGCAGCTTCTCTCATCCCTCTTATGTGGAGACTGGAGTCCTTGAGTTCTCTCTGGAACAGCATCCCAGCAGGTTTTGGAGTTGTGTGGAAAAAGGATTTATTAAGCTGTCCTGATTTTGAAAATACTAGTTTTCTTTTTCCATGTCTGCCAATTTGGTCCCTTTCACTATCAGTGAGATTGATTTAAAGTGGAGCTAAAGATGTGGGTACATGGGGGTGAGCTCTGAGTGCAGTTTTGTGGCTGCAGGTGAGACTCGCACCAAAGCCGAGCGCAGCCGGTCCCTATGTAGTGAGTGTGGATTTGTTCCGAGTGTCCCAAACCTGTCCCCCAGTCAGTTATTAATTGACATGTTTCTGTTGTCTGATTTCAGTATTTTGCATCCAGCTGTTTTTTCTTCTGTTTAGAAACAATTCTTGCTTTGGATGTCTTCAGAAAAGGCCTGATGTTCGTCAGCTGTGCTAAGGTGTGTTAATTTTCTTCCTTTAATGAAACTCTTCATTTCTAGTGATCTTTATGGGCAGAGTTGTTGTATTTCTTTTTAGTGATCCATCTTTCTGCAACATCCCCCAAATATAAGGTTCTTCCCCTATTCTTTTTTAACGTTGTCCCTGGGGAAATGGGATTTATTAGCCTGAAAGGAGATGTCTCATTCTCCAAGTGCATTATAGTTCAGAGAGGTCATTAGCATGAGACTGATGGGGAGCTGGGTGTAAAAAAAAAAAAAAAAAAAAATGTAAAATGTTGGAAAAAAGGTGCCAACTGCCCTGGTACACCCAGAAATCAACCTCCTTGGCTGCAGCACACCAGGTTTGCCTTTGTCTACCCTCACCCACTCTGATGAGTGCAGGCAAAGGTTCAAGCTTGAAAATAAACGAAGAGTCAGGCTTATGGACATGGTGAGTGCATGAGGAACTGATCACCTGTCAGCAAATCCCAGCGGTTTCTGTCCTCTCCCGTTACAGGACAAAAGCCTTCGAGTCTGGCGGATGAACAAAGATGGAAGGGTGCTCTGTGTGGCCCAGGGACTGGGTCACGCACACGGGGTAGGCGCAGTCTCTTGCTCAAGGTAATAAAAATAAGAGGAGGGTTTCCCTTTGCTAGTGTGAGTTGCGGCTGCTTTTCTGATCCTCAGGGTGAATGTTCTGGTGGGTGCCTCCCTCTGAGCCCTGTTGTTTCTCATGCTTGGTCCCAGCTCACCACAGCACTCGAGTTTGAAGGAAGGGTGACTTTTTTTTGACGCACATCTGTTTATCCATAAGTTGCAAAGTTTGCATTTCTTTGTCAGTTTAACTCCTTAAGGAGCAGCTGCTGGATAAGTTGCCAGATAAAGCTTGAGTGATGTGGAGAGGAGGGTTGGGGAGTGAAGAGAACGTGTCTGTGAAGGTGCTTGCTTGAATAGCATGTCTGTTTATCAGCTCCTCTCCTTTCTTCATGCTGCCTAACAGCCTGGAAGCTCAGCTTGCCCATTCAAGAGCTGCAGTGTACCTTTGCAAATGAAGGGAGCTAGCAATGCTCTTGCCTAGTGTCTGAAACTAGTGTTTAAACTGCAACAGGAGAGGTTCAGACTGGACATTAGGAAAAAATTTTTCACAGAAAGAGTGGTCAGAGAGTGGAATAGGCTGCCCGGGGAGGGGGCAGAGTCCCCATCCCTGGATGTGTTTAAGGATGAGCTGTTGGGGGATGTGGGGTAGGGGAGAACTTTAGCGTTGGGCTGATGGTTGGACTCAGTGATCCCAAGGGTCTTTTCCAACCTGAATGATTCTGTGATTCTGTGAATTGCTGGAGGCTATCCCAGGGACCTAAGTAAAATGAAAGACATCTTGGAAAAACATGAAAGCACTGTTTCACATCCCAGCAGATTGACTGAACGTGTGTAGATCCTGGTAGGGGAGGAAAAGGGATTTTTTCTGTGTGTGGGAAACCACCATTTTGCTTCTTTACACTTGATATTTTTATTCCTTTCAGACTGAAAGAAAGCTTCGTAGTAACCAGCAGCCAGGACTGCACTATCAAGATCTGGAATATCCCGGAATCCCTCACTTCCAAAGCAAAAGCAGCCTTGATCTCCAGCCCAGAAGCCCTTCATGCAAAAGTGACTGAGAGGGGTCATGACAAGGTAAAGCTTCATCTGACATTAAAATATGCTTTTAGTATTTAAATCTTTCTCTCCTGTGTTGTACCCTACATTTATTACCTGTCTGACAGCTAGAGCAAAGTCTGACGCTGCCTGGTGCTCTCTGTACTTGTGTGACTTCTCCAGGACATAAACAGTGTGGCAGTTTCTCCCAACGACAAGCTGATTGCCACTGGCTCACAGGACCGGCTGGCCAAGCTGTGGGCCTGTTCCGATTGCTCTTTGCTGGGTGTCTTCGCTGGCCATAAGCGTGGGATCTGGTGTGTGCAGTTCTCCCCTGTGGATCAGGTCTTGGCCACCTCTTCAGCAGATGGGACCCTGAAGCTTTGGGGTCTTCGGGACTTCAGCTGTCTGAAGGTAATGAGAACTCAGAGCACCCCTTTCTCCAGACAGCCCTTGTGCCAAAGCCCAAGGGGTTGATTAAGGCTGCTTTAGAGAAAAAAAAAAACAACAAACCTGCTAGGTAGTGTGGCTGAAACGCAGCAACGTGGCCATGATGAAGGTTGAGCTCCCCAGGTTTAGCCTTGTTCTGCAGGATCCTGGATCTGTGAGCTACACACAAAGCTGCAGGACAAGAGCATCTGCCCAACGTTCAAGTGATTTTCTTTTCTCTAAACCAGTGAGCAACATGGTTGATCATAGGGGAAAAGCACATTCGTGCTGTTGAAAGAAAGTTGGCTTTGCCTGACCCAGCTGTGCCCATCAAGTTTAAGCACACAAGTTTAAATCTCAGACTCAGTCTTGCTAGAACAGTCTTTCCAGTCCAGTGGGGTCTCGCTAAGACCACGAGAAGGCAGTTGCTGACTCTGTGCCACATTCTGCCTGGTGGTGTCACCCCCCTGAGCAGGTGCTTCATGCAGTGTCGGGGGAATCGGCCTTCTGGGGGCACAGCCAGGGCAGTTGGCCCCCCCATTCCCACCATTTGCAGTATGACCTTGGCCAACAAGGGTGGGCAAGCAGCTTGGCTGCAGAAATGGTGTGGGGACAAATCATTTCCTGCTGTTCTTTTAACCAGCTGTAATAATCCCAAGGATGAAGGCTGCTATTTGGAAATTACCTGTATGGGAGTAAATATTATCCCCTTGAAAGGCAACAATTCAAACAGGTCTGAGCTTTCTTTCTGTTTTCCAGACCTTTGAAGGTCACGATGCTTCCGTACTGAAGATCATTTTTGTAAGCCGAGGAATGCAACTGCTCAGCAGGTAAATGCCTACACCAGGAGTCTAGAGGAAGATGGCAAAACTAACAAGAAGAGAAATCTCTTAGCTGATAGCAGCAGCAAGAGGGAAGAATCTTGTGCAATGGGTTTAGTTTTGGAAAGACTGATAGGAAGAGGCCGTGTTTATGCCAGGCTTTTTGCAGGGCCTGACTTAACCTTCCTCCTCTCCTGCTACGCTGTGGATTGTCCTGAGCTGCTGTGATATTGCTAGGTTGGTGACAGACACTCTAGTTAAGCAGAGCGGAGGGTGCATCTCAGCCTAGATGTTTTTGGTTCATTCTCCTGTTTGAAAAGCATCAGAATGGGACCATTTTATCTGATACTTGCGGCAGGTTGGAGCAAGAATGGATCTAGGCAGTGATTCTTTTTGTTGTGTTTCTTTCTCTCCCAAAAGCGGCTCTGATGGTCTTGTAAAACTCTGGACGATTAAAACAAATGAATGTGTGAAAACATTAGATGGTCATGAAGACAAAATCTGGGGTCTTCACTCTAACAAGCAAGATGACATGGTTGTGACAGCATCCAGTGACTCCTGCATCTTGCTGTGGAAGGTACAGTCAGGGTCTGCCTCTGTTTCCTCAGGATGCAGGTGGAGAACTCGGGGATCCCAGCAGGTTGTTCCCCGCTATTCCAACATGACATGTGCTCTCATTTTTCTGCACTTAGAAATTGGGTCAGTAAGGCATATCTTGGGGGGGTTGGCCGTATTGTATTTCCCCAGTTGATGTCAAAGGAACAGCAGATGGCCCTTAGCAGCCTGCCTGGTGCTGGTGTTCTCAGGGTGGTTTGGAGGGAAGTTGTGAGTTGCTGGATTTATCACTTCAATTACTTGACCTACAGATCTTGCTGCAGAAACTGATCTCATCACTTGATGGCTAAATAAAAATTTATCTGTATTAAAGCAAGATTTGACAAAATTATATTCTGGGTTTTTTTATAGGATGTCACTGAAATTGAAGAGGAGGAGGCACAAGCTAAACAGGAGGAGCAGATTATGAAGTAAGTTGATCCTGTGCAGTGATGAGCTGTGTGAAAGACAAGCTGTCCAGTAGAACTGTCCACACCTAGAGCCATCCAGCTCAGTCTAATCCGAATATTAATTACATCATTTAGCTATTTAGAGGCTGTCAAGGCACAGCAGTCATTTCTCCTTTGTAGTTTATCTTTAGTTCCTGCAAAGCCTTGCTATAATACTGTCAGCTTGACAATTGATTGGTTTCACATGTAGGCACTGCCAAGATAAGCAAAGTCAAACCGCTGAAACCTACTTTCACTTTCTCCCACTTCAGCCAGCACAGAATAGTTCAGGGAGCCCTTGAACGTGCCAATGTAATTACCTGCACAATGAGGGCACTGAGGCACTCGCTGGCAAGTGGCATTAACTTCTTGGCATTAAACTAAACGTGCTGCTATTGCCAAATCTGCTACTTTCTGTATAGTGGTTTTTTCTGCCAACCATATAATTTGTCTTACTGTCTTGACCCTGACTTGTTTTCCAGAGAGCAAGAGCTTTCAAACCTGCTTCATGAGAAAAGATACCTCAAAGCTTTAGGGTTGGCAATCTCGCTGGATCGTCCACACACAGTGTTGATGGTGGTCAAAGGTGAGTCCGAGCTGTGCTCTGAAGGCATTTTTCTGCCCTTTCTGCTTTCCAGAACATCTCCAGGTAGACAAAGATAACAAAGTCTAATTGTCTGAAAGTCTTGCTTTTCCCTTTCTCTTACGGCTCCTGTTTCCCTCAGTGCAGTCACCCCTGATAGCGGATGGTCTCCCTGCTCAGCCCGCGGGTGCAGGGCTGAGCTCCCACACAGACTCTCAATTTCTTTTTCTGCAGCCATCCTCAAGGAAACCAATGGGAGAAAGCACTTGGAAGAGAACATTGCTCGGCTCCGGAAGGATCAGAAAGGTTTGTTGCAATGTCGTTTAAGTGCTAAAATGGTTCGGGTCAGGGGTTTATTTCCTCAACTGAAATGAGAGGAATGTCCCTAGCACAGCGTTTACCGCTGAGCTCCCTGGGTTTTGTCACGGTGTTACTCGTGTGCACACTAGCAGCTGCTCTGAGCTCTGTGTGGTTTGGCCTGGCCTGGCCATGCAGGAAGCAGTTCAGCACATCATTGTTCTGCCCCTCTGGGCCCCTCGGGCATAGCCGGCGGGAGCGGGTCTGCTCTGTAGGGCAGAAGAGCCATTTGCTGCCTCAGCCCGTCCCACGCCAGCAGTTCACCTCTCCTCGCCCCGTAGAGGCCGTGTTGACGTTCCTGGTGACGTGGAATACGAACACACGGAACTGCCACGAGGCCCAAGCTGTCATCGAAACCCTGCTGAAGCACGAAGCCCCAGACAGCCTCCTGCAGTACTCGGGCATTAAATCTGCAGTGGAGTCACTGCTGCCCTACACTGGTGAGTCAGGCTGCAGGGACGGGCTCCGAGCCTGAGGCCTCCTCCTGGTCCTGAGTATTCCCTGCTTGCCTTGGTCTAAAAAGAGAGCTTTTTGCGCCCTGTTCTGAGCTTTCCCTCCCGTAGTGTGAACTGTCACCTTTCTCTTCTTACAGAGCGGCATTTTCAGAGGCTGAGCCGCTTGCTCCAGGCCTCCATGTTCATTGATTTCATGTGGCAGAACATGAGGCTGGCTGATGCCTCCCAGCAGGAAGACTTGACACTGTGACCCTCCTCATGCCCATTGCTCTTTCCGGAGGGGAGAGCCTGAACTGCTTTTCTGCCAGGTATGGCAACTGGACTATTCCCCTATTTTATAATAAAATTTTAAAGTTTGACTTTCTAAAACAAGTCCAGCATTTGGTCTCCTTGGGGCTTTAATGAGAGGAAGGGTTCATTTCTTTGGCCAAGCTGTGGTTTTCCTTTATATTTTCACCCCTGGAATTTTCAGGCCTGGACACTTAAACAGCACTTAGTTTGGAGAAAAGGCAGAACCTGGGGATTTAAAGATTTTACAGGGTTTGAGAGAGACAACTGTTGATGTTGTATTGTATCCTGCAGCCCAGCCAGGCGTGATGTATCGATGCCATTGAATATTTTGTTTGGGCAAAACTCAGCCTGGGCCAAGGCAGGTATCTCCCCTGTGCCTGCCCTCAGTATTAGCACCTGGGAAGGGATATAAGCAGAGTTTTAATTCTCCAGCTAGAAAATTTTTGAATTATGAAAAACAAGCAGTCTTGTAGGTATTTATATGTATTTTATTATATAGTCAGATGTATAAAACTTAGAACAACATAAATACAAGTTGGTTAAATTACTTGTTTCAAAAAAAAAAAGAACAGATACCTGGGAGATTAACTAAAAGGCAGCAATCTATATAAGATACATCTAAGTTTTTCTATAACTATTTTTCTAACTCAATTCTAGCAAATGAGTTTAGGATGAGAATTGCTGCAAGTTTCAGTAACTATCAGACCCCCTTGAAAGGGGAATATTTTGTTCATAAAAATGGGCTCTGGCCCCCTTTCCCAGCTGGGAGGGAAGGTAGACTGCAACTGGTTTTGCTTTGTGCCTGCACAGATGTCACTGCAGGGACTGGTTAGAGATGAGGTTTCCAGCCAACAGGTTTTTTGATCAGCAGATCCAGCCAATTCCTGTATTTGAAGGCTGGTTCTCCACTACCCAATTTGATCTAACCTTTAAAAAAAATTTAAAAAACATCCCCACAGAAACAACAAAAAAAGCTCCCCAAAAAACACCAAAAATCAAAGAGGGTTTTTTTTTTAAAAAAAAATATATATATATATAAAAAAAATAGGGATGTTGGACAAATGACATCCACATGGCTGTACCGTCCCATCCCAGCAATTGTAGCTCTGGATTTCAGGGGTGACTCTCCCCTGCTCTGACCCGGTTTCTCTCCACCATGGAGAGCAGCTGCAGCCCCTCAGGAATAACGCCAAGACCGTTCACATCCTGCGCTGCAGGATAAACACCTGCCTGAGGGAGAATTAACTGAATCTGAAGTGACCTCTGACTGACCCAGGAGCTGCTATGACTCCCCTGATAAGTTAAACCCATAAATCCTCTCCCACTAACTCCACTAAAGCTCCTCCTGACTGCAAGCTGCAGCACAGGGCAGTGTTACCCACAGAAGCCACGTTTGCATGTGGGATCCATTGGGATCTAACCATGTCCTTGGAAAGCAACAGCCCCAAGCCCTTGGCTCCTTCGAGGAGGGTGTCTGGCCCGGGGCTGGGTCTGTGCCCCCACCCTGAGGGCACTAGTGTGTGCTGGGGAGAGGAAGAAGAGCCTGGAGTGCTGGCCGGGAGGAAGACTGCTGCACGGCTCGCTTCGTGATGGTGCTGCACTTCTGGAGGATCTCGTGGGCTGAGGGACGCACGGGCACCTTGGGGGCACAAGCAGCCAAGTCGGGGTCAGTGAGGGAGTAATTTAAATCAGCTGTAGATGATTCCACAAAACCAGAATCATTCCTGTCCTCATGGGTGAGGCGGGGAGACTTGTTGCTGTGCATGGCTGCCGCATGGTCCAGGGGAGAGCTCCTGGCCTGCTCAACTTCGGGCAGAGATCTTGACAAATTGGGCTTCCAGCTGAGGCGGCCATCCCGCTCACTGCTGCTCCCTGAGCTGAGGGACAAGCTGTCTGACTCCAGGTCCGGGGTGGAGCTGGCCCTGGGCAGAGACCTTGATCTGCTTCTTGAGGAGCTCAAGTCCTCCTCAGTCTGGCTGAGGGAGGAGCAAACCTGCACCCTGCAGTGTGCTGCAGCCTCAGCCTGGGGCTGGGCAACCACCAGGGAGGAGCAGAGGTTCGGGGTGGAGACGTTGAGCCCGCAGCTCATGATGGTCTGGAGCTTGTGGTGAGGGTTCTTGTAGGGCTGGAGGCACATGGAAGGCATGTAGCCGGTTCGACCGTTGTATCTGAGGGGGATGGAGGGAAAGAGGCACTGAAACGAGCCCTTCTCCCAGCTTCAGAGCGTGGGGAGGGAGCAGAGCGCCCGGGGGAAGCAGGTGGGGACTCAGCCCAGTGCACAGGACACCAGGAAGGGGAAAACCCTCCCTAGGCGAGGGCAGTCAACTTGGGGGAGCCCCTCCACGCCCTGAGCAGGCAGGATGCACCTGCAGCAGGGAACTGTCCCCCTCGGAAAAGCCGCCTCACCGGATCAGCCACCAGCCGTCATCGGATTTCCTGATCACCTCCACGACTACGCCGTTGTTCAGTGAGAGCTCATCTGCCTTCTGTGACTCGTAGGCCCGTGCCACAAAGTAAAGGCTGCCTGCAGAGAGGAGGGGGACGTCAGATTTTGCCTTAAGGATAAAATGGGACAGAGCAGCTCCGCAGCCCTGGGGACAAGATAGCTGCAGGACAAGTGTCACTGCTGTGAGTGATGGATCTGCCAGGAGACCCACAGCTGATCAGAAGTCAGAGCTCCAGGCAGGGGCTCCAAGTTGTGGTTGAAGTGGCAGGATTTTTGCAGAATTTTTTTTTTAATTTTTTCCTGAAGGGGGAACATGGTGTCCTAGGGAGCCAGAACCAGACTTACCCTCCTTGTCTGAGCTCAAGGCACTCTGGATGTCCTTGTGGACATCAATCTCTTCCAGATATGAGGCTGGGAACCAGGCTATCTGCTTGTCTGCGTTTTCCACTAGCCACCATCCTGCAGCAAACAGCCAAAAAAAGGTTTTTAACAGCCTGCAAGTAGACAGACAACCATAATCCACAAGAAACAGGAGGGACATTCTGCAGAGCCTAGCCAGTGCCATGCTGATACTTTTTTTCCTTCCTCCCGTGTCATTCCGGGTGAGCACAGCACAGGCACAAACACTCACTCGCAGCCAGGGTGCTCCTGACTTGGCATTTGCCAAGCTGTGAATTAATCTTACACCATCCCGCTCTGAAACCAAAAAATCCCTATCAAACATACCAGTCATGTCCTTGATTAACACTTCAATAATTTCCTTCTTATCCACTTTGAAAGTCTTGTTTTTTGTGTCTTTGGTTTCAAAGGTCTCGATGCACCTGTAGCTCTGGGACACCTGGGGATGTGTAATAGAGGAGAGCTTCTGCTGTGCTGGGTTTTTCTTTTCCCCTCCAATTTCTGATGGCATTATCACAACACTGAAAAGTAAAGTTTAATACTGATTTACTGAAAGCTCCCGTGGAAGGTTGAGGTTAGTATTAATTTTGGTAAAATCATCTACGCAGTAGGCTAAGAAAATCTTAGGCATCAGAAACAACATAAACATGCATTAAAGCATTCAGTAGAACTTCCCTGCTCTGCCACCCCAGTATTTAACTTTTGTTTCTCTTCTACCCATATTCTGTCACATTTCTGTTTCATGAAGATGCATACAAACAGAAAATACAAATGTGATTTCATACCTGTTTTCAGGAAAGGAGGGATCCAGGTCTTGGGTCTGTGCCTTGAAAAACTGAATCACATCTTCACCCTGGGATATTTTAGCATCCATTTTCAGCAGCTCCTGGGAGTAAGTTTCCAGCAGTTTCAGTATCTCCAGGCACCTGTTCAGCTTCCCCCTCTTCCTCTGCTTCACATTTGCATCTTTAAAATAACATGAGCAAAGTTGGTGTAAAACAACAGGTCTGAATGCCCTGAGAGCAGCATCTTTTTCCTGAAGAGGAGGGTGCCCTCACCTGCCACCCTTTCCCCACACAAGCCCAAACTGTCAGAAGAGGAAACAGCAGCTGCTTCTGCTTCCTTATCTTTAATAGCACCTGATACAAGCTTTCAATACCTAAAATTTATCTTTGTTCACATTAAAATGTTGCAAGGAACTCTGGGCCAGTATTTAAAGTGTAATATAAATTTACCAAGTACAATTCTCTGTTTAAGTCATTCTGGGTTATTTAAAGTCAGTAATAGACCCAAGTGCATTAATAAACCCAGCAGTACTGGGCCATGAGCAGCAGCAAGCTGTTAATCTGTTCCAGAGGAAGGACTGAAGTCTGTCATTAGTTATGAATGTCCCTGATAGCGCTGTCGTGTTTGTTGGGCTGTTAGGTATTTGTTCTCTTTACCTCTAAACCTGGGTATTGTCCGGTCAGATCTCCTGAGTGACCCACCCTCGATGGGGAATTTTCTCTTCAGCTCTTTCTAAAAGCAAGGAAGAGGAGAGAACAGTGGTGCTTTGCAGCCCCGGCACGCAGCTGGGCTCCTTCCCCCTCCCCAGGACAGGAATCCTGTTTTCTGGGGGATACTTACATGGAATCTCTTAAAGTCTTCAAACGTCCGGTAGATGAGAATGTTGTTCTGATCTGACCAAGACACAAATATCATGTAGTTCTGGAAAAATAAAAGTGAAAAGAAGTGCCTTTTTTTAAAATTACAATGTTCAGTATTGGATGCTTTCAACAATCGGCATTTTCTAGGACCTGTGGTTTAATTCTGGCTTCAGGCTGCAAAACTGTCATATCAAAAAATGAAATTAAATATTAGACCTATAAAAATATTTCCTTAATTTTAGGGCCCCAAATGGGTAATCATTAAAACCAGAAGATTTTTATGACACTGTGAACAGAAAGACAGCAGAATCCAAGATAACCATTGTCTTATGATATTAAGCCCATCAAAAAAACAAGTCTAAGACCCCCCCCTCCTAGATCACAAGTCTCTAATCCCAATACTGCAGAGAAATGAGTAAACATACCCCTGTAAGAACAACTCAAAAAAGCCCTCTAGTTTCCCGATTTGTAAATATTTAAAGAGAAAAAAAAATCCAACAAAAAGCCCATTTAAGTACCTTCTGCTTTCTGCATTGCATCAAGCCAACAGCCTTCACATTCACTGGGTACCTGCTGCAGCTCATCTTCCCCCAGCCTGCTCCTCTCTCCCCCGTGCAGAGGTGCAGCTCCAGGCTCGACTTCCCGGTTAAATACGCTGCCACGGGAGGCAGGGCGCAGGAGTTCCCGCTCTTCCTCCTCCGCCCAAGGACGCTGGCAGAAATTCCGTAATTTTGCAAACTACCTCTTGCCTTTTACCTGCCCCCCTGCTTTTAGCATGCACGTACACCCAGGGGCAGATGGCAGGGGTGTAGTTTGGAGAGCTGGGGAGGAGAAGCAGCTTATCACATCCTTCCTAGAATAACACAGCAGGTGAGACTGGGTCCGTTTATCAGCCCTGGGTGTCGGGGAGGCCACCAGGGCAGCAACACCTCCTGTGATCTGAAGTGCATTCCCAGGGACAGACGTGTTGTGGTTATGGCTTTAGGACATGTTCCTGCTTGTCAGAGCTGCTTGAGCTCGGGCTGCGCTCACACTAGGCCCAAAACCTGATTAACATGGCTCGGTGTAAAGCACACATCAGGCACCACTTGGTGTGTGTGCTAGCTGGTACAAATCTTCTCTTTACTGCTTTTTCCCACCTGCTAAGATGCTTCACTTTATATGTGTTTCTGGTAGCTCTATCAATATTTGCACGCTCTCAGAAATTAGTGGAAGATGCTGATGCTAATGTTGTTGGAACAAAGGATTAACCCATCTCGCAGGGTGTAACTGAAAAAGTCCCAAAGCTGCTCAAGTGTGAATACATGATGGAGACTCAGCTGCAAGTGCTGGGTGCTCTGTCCTGCACCAAGCCAGGTGTCCACACCCCACCAGGGCGACCAGCAGCTCTTCCCATGGCCCAGCTCCCCCTGCCCAGAGGCACTGCAGGACCTGTAATTCCAGCCTGTCCTTTCACTGAGCCACTGTCTTCATCGTGCCTCAGGGTATGATTTGGCTGAAGGGCATCCCTGTGATCAAACCGCCTCCTCCAGCCCCCCTCCCCCTCTTCTTTGATGAAGTCTAAATTGAATCATTATCGTTATTGGAGCCCAAATTGAGGGGCTCAGTGCTGCCTTCCCTTTCATTTTCCAGTCACACCTGGTGTATCAAACCTTCAGCAGCAGCTGTGGATGACTTTTCATCTCCCAAAAATCCCCCCAAAATCTGAATAGGAGGCTGAACAAGATTCCTTCTGGATGGCCAGAAAATACAGTGAGCAGGGCCTTGGTTTGAGTTTCATGAGCATGTGAGGCTGCTCCTGCGCAGCAGGACAGCAGTTTCTGGGGGAGGTGTTTTTGTTGCAGTTCAATCTTTTGCCGCTGGATATCTGTCCTCTATAGGGAAAGGAAAGTTATACAGACAGCACTTCGGTCCTGGTGGGAAAACCCCTTTAACGGCATCTCCTGGGCATTTCCTGGCTCGTGAAGCCAGACAGGAGTTGCCCTGAGGAGAGGTGATGCAATGCAGCTCACTGCCCTCAACAGCCCTGGAATCAGACCCTCCATCCCCGAGGGATCACAAAGGGTCCAGCAAAAGCACGTGCTGTTAAATCTACCTGGCTCAAAAAGTAAGGTTTTTACAGAGAGAGAAAAAATCAATCCAGTGAGTTTATTCTGTTTATGACCGTGCTTATCTAGAAGCTGCCACTCTCCAAGGTGGCAAAACCCTTCACTGAGTCCCTGTCATCATACCCACGCTCCCAGGCTTCTCCTCGGCTGCCCAGCCGGGCCCGAGCTCGCTGTTACACGGCTCTTATGCGGTTCTCAGAAACAGCTGGAACCAAGACTCTTGATCAAGCACATTTGATTGGTTTCCTGTCTCAGGCAAACTTGAGAGTGTAAAATGTAAACATGAATGGGAGAAGCCAAAGACAATTAAGATCTTTGAGAAGCTGCAATGTCTGTACACACAGGAGGCAGCCAGGGGAGGTTCAGACAGCACGTCGCTCATCAGGTGTCAGTGAAAACAAGGAGAGTAGGAAACAGCCTTAGTTTTGGCAATTGCTAGTTCCAAAAACTTTGCCAGATTTCAACATTTTCAGGAAATTCAGGCAGAAGGGGGACATGGAAAACATATGACCAGATGTCACAACAGGAAGGTGAAATGACGGAGGTTTGGAAGTCACCTGAGGGTGAAGGGCCAGTTGTGTGGTTTGGAGAGTCCATTTTCTGGGGAAGATTGGCTGGGGACAGGGATCTCAGATAAAGTGAAGTATGAGCAAAACTACTCAAACCTCAATAATTAGTTACTGAGAAAGCGTATTGCAGAAGCAAAGGTCACTGCGATGCAGAGCAGAGGTGGGAAGAATGGCCAGGCACTACTCAGAGATAACAAGGTTTCTGGTGTCATCCCAGAGAGCTCAGTTCAGGGCTCTGCAGTATCGTTGCTGTGTTGTTGACAAGTTTGATGTCAAGAAACTGTCTGTTCAAGACATTGAGTTAATGAGTCACGTCATATTAGTATGAAGTGACGTTACTTGTGAAAACAGAGGAAGGGCCGTGCCAGATGGCCTCTGGGTCAGCACAAGTGCTCCTCAGCAGCATTACTGCATCACCTTCACAAAAAAAACAAACCAAAACACCCTCTTCCCGACATTGTCAAGTTTACTTTGCGTTTTCTACTACTTCCATGTTGTCCTGCCATAAATTGGTACCTCCTTATGTGTAATTATTAACTGAAGGGTAGGAGTAGTCTGCCCGAACAAAGTAAAACTGGGGGAAGTATTGCTGGGTGCTGTTACTTCATCATCAGTATTTACATAGTTTTTAAGGACAGCAGTTACTTTTTTCTTTGGTTGTTTTAGAAGGTACAAAAGATCATAAATTAGCAAATAATATATAGGAGCGGACTTTCCAGCTTTGACAAGACTGAAGAAACACAAGTAATAACTGCAGTTGTTTTGCAGCCTGCTCCAAGCACGCCTGGCAAAGGTGAAGCTCTGCCTCCCGCCACTTGAGGAACATCAGTGCCGCCCCGAAGCAGCTGCTCTGGGTACATGAAATACTGTTTGTGTCACAGACAGTGACTGAGGTATAGTCATGGGGAGTCACAACAGAGATCCACCCCGAAGAGCCCAGAGTCTGAGGGACGGGGTAAGTCATCCAGTGGCTTCAGGGAGTCCCCCTGGCCACCCGGGCTGTCCCTGCCACTATTGCCATTACAAGACCAGCTTCCCCCCACTGAGTGCAAAATATTTGTGACAAATAAACACTAAGGGTCTGGTTTTCTTTTCATTTCAGTACAGATGAGGAATAACTTAACCTGGTGTGTTTAACCAGAGTAGAGCAAGCGGGAAAAGTGCCTGGACCAGTCTTTCACTGCATCCAACAAAAGCCAGAAGCAGAGCTTGAGTGCGTGGGTGCTTGGGGGCAGCCAAGGGCAGTGCTTCACCAGCTCCACCACAGCCATTTGACAAGTCTAACAAGCAATGGCCTTGTCACAAACACACACATATGAAAAAGAGAAGGAACCATGCTATGAACATTCTTTACCACGTACAGAAGTCAGGTCTGGGCCAGTTAGTGACCTGTACATTTCACAGCTGCAGATGTGTGGGACTCTAAATCAGGCACTTCTATGCCCAAAACAGGAGGAATTACTAGAGGCCAGACTCACTGACCTCTTGCAAACTCACCAGGGAAAGGCAAAGTGAGAAAAAGTCCTCAAACCAACCTTGAGATACTATGGCTGCAAGAAAGAGATATGGAAAGGAGCCGTGGGCACAGCCAAGGGGGGGCCTCGCCTGGAACAACGCCAGTAGAACTTCATCTTTTCCCACCATCACCTCAGGATCAAAACCTGCCCTTTACTGTTCTTGAAGGTCACCTGTGATAACACATGACCTATCAGCACCTTTAATGAAAAGCTCAGCTGCTAAAAGCTGATTTTAAAAGTTCAAAGAGGTTTTAGACTTCCAATAAATAAACAGATTCTTATTTAAAAAAAAAAAAAAAAAAGAATCAGACACTGCAGTTGACAAAAATATCCTTCACCTCATAAACAAAGGAAGCAGTTGAACTTTCACACAGGCTGGGATGAGAGATTTTGCAATATCTAATCCAGAAGAAGGTATTTCATTTCCTCCTAATTTCAGCAGCTGCTGCAGGCACTAATGCATTTTTCGGTGGCCAGTGGAATCTGAATCAGAAATCCTTTGAGCACACGCAGAAGCGTGGCACGTCTCCACGCCCCGAAGCGGCTGCGTTGCAGGAGCTTTGGAAGATGCACGTCCATCTTCAGTGTAGGGGGCTCACTGACTCCTCAAGGGCAGAATGAAAAAATTCTAAAGAGTTAGGGCTCAAGCATGGACAGCTGTGGTAACGGGCACTGTGGGGACAGTAACAGGAGCTGGGCGGTTGGTATCTGCACCAGGGCTGCATGCAGGACCTTGCTTTCCCAGTGATGAACTTGCAGTGTCTGCACAGCACCAAGAATTAATTTTGCAAGCCCAGTTTTCATTTGGATCACAGTGAACTGCTGCAGCTTGTAACACTTTTCTCCTGCTAGAGACTGAAGAGCCATTAAGGCTGAGTCTGTTGCTCTGTTCTCCACCAGCTCAGACTGGTAAGGCAGCATTTGCTGGAAGGAAGAAAAAGTAATTTTGAAGTGCTGCTACCTGAGCTGTCTTAGAAACAGTCCAGTCAGCAAAGCCTCCTACAGCAGTGCTGGGAAAAGACAGTGCTTGTTTTCTGTAAGGCAATGATCTGCCTTTCACATAAGGAAACTGCACATGATCGCCATGGCTTGTGAGCCAGCACACTGAGAAGGGCTGGCTTCCGCAGGCATTTTTGTTCCCCTCTGTGCTCCATGCCTGCCTGCTTTCCTCTGCCACCTTTCCACCTCAGCGTGAGTCCCACACCTTTTAATCCACAGTCTCCTGCAATGGACTTGTCCCTGGTTATTGCTCACATGGAGATCAGAGCTGAGCACAGGGGGGACCTGTCCCTCCCCAGGTCACTGCAGCGTGGCCTCAGCCTTACAGCTGGTATAAAATCACAGCATTGCATCAAACTCCCTCAAACCAAGCACTAGCTGGCTGAGAGGAGTGAAAGCAACGGAGCAAATTCTCCTTGAAATGCCCTTGGATTCCAGCTGCTCAGCGCAGGGAGAAAGCTGCCTGGCGCAGGTTTGCTTGCTGCCTGGGGCACGCTGGACAGGCCCCTGTTTACCAAGCACTTGTGGCAATAGTTTCATAGCTCCTTTGTAAAAGTAGCATGTTTTCCTAAGGTTGTGCAAAGGAAAAAAGCATGATTCAGGAAGAAAATTTACAGGAAGGATGAGAATATAACTTAAGCCACTGCAAGAGAAAGTTTCCTGCATCATTTCCTATAGAAAAAAAGAAAAAAAGGTGTTTGAAGAGTGCAGGGTGTGGTGCAAGGCCAATGCAGTTTATGTATATGTTGGGACACGGCTATGGGGCCTGAAGGGAGGCGGAAGGCAGGGTTGAGTTTCCAAGTGCACAGCCTGCCCCGCACGAAATCTGTCAGGGGAAAATCACAGCAACACAATCTGTGTGGAAACAAGCACCACTGGACAGGTAGAAATACTCTCTTCACTTGGGCAAAATCTATTCTTACTTCATGGTAAATATGGTAAGGTCTGATCAGAGGCAAGACCACTGCATTCCTCCCAGATTAGTCTGAGATCTGATCATCCTTTTCTTACCCTTTCCTCATTCCCCACTGCCACCGATAAGCAGAATATGCAAAGTGCTTTATCTGTCCTGGGGTTTCCACCGGCACTGGTAGCCCAAGTTAAAAGTTCACCTTTATTTCAGAGTGAAGACAAGACCATTGTGTTCCTTACCCCCTTCAGAAAACGGGGAAAACAATATTTAATCTTCAATCAAAAGTCTGGTGAGGAGAAGAGTAACATGGAAGGAGAAACGTTTTTTCATTAATGTTTAATTCTTAATGATTCAACACATTCTCTAGCAATTGTTAGTTGAGAAAAATCTCTTCCTCTACCACTGATTGGACTTACTACTATCTACTTGCTTTGACCTACTTCTAGAAAAAGCAATTACCCCAAAATCGGGGAGAGCTGCATAAGGATGAGGAAAAAGACAGGAATCACCAGATGAACCTGTCCTGTACGGGACAAGTGATTTAAAAAGCACAGATCTCGTAACAACAGGGTCATTAATTTTTAGGAGACAAAAATGGGAGTATCTAGTAAGGACAGAGCCTCAAAATCCACATGTGAAACAGCATGCTACATTTTAAAATGAACTTCAAATAGCATCTTCTTACTAAATCAAGGGCTGCCTCTGAAGCCTACTCTGAACTCAGCTGGCGTTTGCAGAGGGCAGTCGGGCCAGTCTCCTTTTGCAAAGCCAAGAGGAACGGGAGCTGCTTGCTGAAGATTTTGTGTTTTATTCTTCAAGAGCACAGAAGGAAAACCCTAATTTTGCTGTGTTTGTGCTCAGATTAACAGGTTCCATGGATGCTCAGAGAGAGTCTGGTATGTAGGAAACAGACTGGAGCACGACACCAGCATTAGAGGACTGCCTGTACCAACTTGCAGAAAACAATTTGGTTTTCCCCCTATCCCTGCCATTGCAAATATATACACCACTACTGCTGAATTCTCAGTTTAATCAGCAAAAGGATCCACACATAAAAACAGCACAAGTTTTAAAATAACATACTGCACTCACTGGGTGTAGACCCCCAGATTTGAGCAAGACAGAGGCTTGGTATACTGTGTGCGAAGCCTTGCACCTCTGACTGAACAGATTTTAATAGTTCTGGATGGATCTGAACTGAGATTGGTGTCTCACCCATTTAGTGGAGTGAAGTGTGTCTGTACAGCAGCAGGCTCCATCCTAGTAATTGGGTGATAAATTCATGCCATGGGAAATTTTGCAGTGATGCTTGTAGACAAGCAAAACTGTTCAATATGATTCACTTACCTGGAAATAAACATTATTTTTTTTTCTGCTGCTATTTCCTAGTTGACTGTAATTTCACAAACAACTGCATGACTAATTTCTGATGCTCACTTTGTAACTGGTTGGACTTTAGGCTCCCATCCTTGCATGTAAATACATGTCAGCTTCCTGCAGGTGTATTCCCCTGGACAAGACAACAGTTATATTCAACTGAACTACCTACAAAACCATCACAAAAAACATGGTAAGAATCCTGAGAGGTATAGGGTAAAATTTTCCAAGAACTTTAAATAAATTAATAAGTCAGTGGGTTTTAGGTTCCCAAATAAAGCACAAGGCTTTGAGAATATTATTGCTTGTTCTCTGGTCAAAATCTAACTTTTTATTGCAGTAACAGAAATACACACCAGCAGGCAGTCCAGGCTCTCTGGCCCTGCAGGCTATTACATTCCCATACAATCCTGCTGCCCCCCAGAAAGTGGGCTGTGCAGAAAGCAGCAAGACTTTTGGCCTATCTAAGCCAGTTAGCTCTGAAAATTAGCAGCCTTTCTGTAGAGGTAATTATATCTGTACATAAACATGCATCCTGCTGTAGCCTGGGGTCAGGCTGCAGGGAAAAGAGCTGTGTGAAGCCTCCTTGGGGTTCCTCCTCCTTGGGATCACTCCTCCTTGGGGTTCCCCTCCTTTGCTCAGGACCTGTATTTAAGCTCAGGCCTTTGTCCTCACCCAAAGTCCACTGGGGGGGGATGCCTGTGCCACATATTTTGCCCATCCTGACTCGCCTTTCTGGCTGCGATGTAGCAGGTCTCCGGGGGGTGTCCAACCCCAGGGGGGTGTTCAGCCCCAGGGGGGGTCCAGCCCCAGCTGCTGCCCTCACGCCAGAGAGCGAGCAGAGGAATACCTCTTGATCTGGCTTCAAATAACAGGTCATCTCCCGTTGCCAGCCCATTTCTTCTTCCTTCCCCGCACACCTGCCTTCAGCTGCCAGTTCCCAAGCTCTTGTTTAGCAAGTGCCAAAGATAAGAGCAGAACATCAAACAGCAGTCTTCCTCTGAGAAAGGCAAACACACCCTTTTCATTTTCTCAAGTGCAGGTTCTACTAACGCTTCCTGGTAATGACTGTCCTTCACATTACCCTATTCTAGACACGGATTAAGCGGCTGTTGGGGCTCACCGCGGCCTCCTTCAGCCCCAGAGCACCGTCCCCTCTGAGCTCACATGTTGCCCACACGTGCTGAAGCTTCTCTGCCCAGTCTGAGCACCTCAGGCAGGCTTGGAGCCGAGGGGGCAGCGGTGGTGCAAGGACACAGCAGGGATGCTCCAGTGTGGCACAATCCTGGTGAGGGACGCGTGGCTGAACACCGGCACCCATGGGGACCCTCCACGGGGCACCCAGCAGGCTCCTGCTGGGCTAGAACAGCAGGGAGAGCAGGAGGCTGCTGCATCCTTCCTCTGTTCTGCGCCATGTTCCTTCCTTCGGATGGAATTAATTAAGTTCTGCACTTGGATTCAATTAAGAGACAGTAAAGTGGATTTCCTTGCTCTGGTTTGAATCTGAGCATCTCTCTGTTTTTTAACTTGACTGCTTTGAAACAAGATGATGCTGGCTATGAGGGCAAATAAAGAAAATTGGGAACACCTTTTCCTAAAGAGCCAGCTCTGCTCTTAGAGCCAACCAGGAAAGGGGCAGGGGGACCAACACTGATCACAAATCCCTCTGTAAGCAACAGCTTCTTTCCGGGTTATGAACTTTTTCCTTTTAAATAAAAATAAAAAATGCTTATATTTTAACTAACTCAATAAATGAAATCACTCACAAGGAAGCAAACAGACTGTTAACAGCCAAATAAGGAGACTGCTTTGACTTAGAAACATCCCTGAACATATTTAATTTCTTGAAGGCTAAGCAATAAAGCACTGTAGGAAATTCCCCAGGTCTCTCTTCCAGATACCAGCATGTCTTTTTTCCTGAATAAAAAAAAAAAAAAAAGAATGAGGTCATCAACATAATTTAAACATTTATTGGTGGGTAAGGAAAACAAACATAGAGAATGTCCTTTCCCCTAGTTGATATTTCCTTTGTGTGTGAAATTGAGATATATAGTTGTCTATAACTTTAGACAAACCCATTTCACTAGTTCCTATCTGTTACTCATGTCTCTCTTCCCTCCCTCACAAATATCAGCAAAGAAATGTTCTCATTAAATTGCAAATTTTTTTTTTTTTTTTTAAAAAAAGAGCACTTGTAAATAGGAGGTCCAAAGATGGAGATCCAGATTGTCAACTTAGTGCTACACAGACTGAGAAACAGATCAGCCATTTCCACAGAAAGTACACTAAGTTTTGAAATCTTTTCAAAGGCGAGTCTTTGAAGCATTTCTCTGAAGTGATGCATTACCTACTAAACATTTTACACCATGCTGTGTTAAATATATTGGAGGATAACAGCTGAAAATGAGCAGTATTTTTCCAGCAACTTTCATACAAATTGTGTCTTTGCAGAATTGGTGGCACAGCAGCACAACATCAGGCAAAAGACTCAAGATGTATTTCAAACAGGCTACGAAGCAGTTGGAAGAAACAGGATGTGGAGAAGTGTAGCTGTTTGTAGGGGCAGAAGCTCCTACGGAGAAATGTCCCAGGTCACAACTGCCTGAAGGGCCATGAAAAGGGCTGATGCTGCCTGAAGGGGAAGGAGGAGGGAAGGGAAGGGAGGGAGGCAAAAACCTATCCCAGCCAGCTGATACATTTCTTAAGATGGTATTTTGGTCCATCTCCATCCCAGCCATACCTTTGTTTGCATTAAACAAAATAATCATATTTTTCACTTGACCTGCAGTATAGGAAGAAGAAAAAAGTGGAAGTGGGTACAAAATATGCATTCTAGAGTGCATTGACCACACAGTGAGAGATTCATTCTGTGTCCTCAAAACCTCTAATGGCACCACAGTGTCAAGCCAAAAAGAAGGAAAAGAGCAAGTCTGTGCTGCACTCCAGCTTTTTGTCCTCTGACCCCCAAGACCTTGCCGAGGTGGCTGTCTTGGAGGCTGGCTGCAGGGTGCACTTCAGGCAGTCACACCCCACGGACTACAGGATGAAACGGCCAAAAGCTTTATCTCTGCTTTTATCACAGTGCCAAGCCCCAGATAATGAACCTTTCCAAGCGGTGAGAGACCCAGCTCTGAAGCTGGTGCTGTGCTGGACCATCACCCAGGAGCTGGGGCACCGTCCTCATGTGCTTGCAAGCCTGTGGCTCCCCAGGAGGAAAAAGAAAGCTGCTGAATGTCCACTCGAGACCTGGGGCAAGGCCTGGGCTCTCCTTCACCCCTGAGCTGCTTAGCTGCAGGTGAGGGCTCATTTCTTTGACATACCTGTCCTTGTGTGACACATGCAAACGCTCTTGGAAAGAGATAAGTAAATCCTTCAATATAGTTTTACAAGCACATGACAGGTGTTAAAACACGTAAAATTTGATAGGAGTGTGTTCTGCCACAGGTGCGTGAGTTGGAATTGAGTTATCCATTTGTTTGTTTTATAAATCACACTCTATTCTTACCACTGACACTGCTGAGGTGCCCTTCGCTATGCAGGAGAGCTGCTCCGGCCCACGAGCTCTGCCACACATTATATAGATACATGTATATATATCTATATCTCTCTCTCTATATATATATATATATACAGAGATGTGAGGCGAACAAGCACTAGCAGGAGGCTCATGTCACTGTGCTGTGGGAGGAATGCCCTCTCTTTTCTCCTCAAACACAAGATTTAAAGCCAGAGGCTACTGCCGTATTGGCAAAACCCATCAGAAACGCGTACTTCTATGCGTGGTGTTTAACGGCCAACGCCTGGGCCGAGGAAAAGCCCCGTCCCTCAAGCCAGCACCCAGCCGGGGGTACAGCGAGGCCGTCCCGCACCTCCCGGGACCGGGACCGGGACCGAGACCGAGACCGAGACCGAGACCGAGACCGAGACCGAGACCGAGACCGAGACCCCGGTCCCGAGG